TCGAGCGACATACAAACACGCAACATCGAGTTTACTCTTACACTCGACTAACCTCCATTTCTGTATATTAATCAAACACGTCTCATAAAAATAACCGATGAGAAGGTATTCCGCTATGCAAAGCTAGAAGAGTTTACCAAGAACTCGGTGAAACGATTCGTTACCAATGACAAACGTAAATCAATGGAAATCTCGATGACATTTCTCATTCAGAGACATTTGAGAAATACAATGTAGGTTTAGTGTCAACCCTTTGCACTCGATAGTTTTTCACTAGAAATATGCAACATCTGATGGGATTCAGACGATGTTCTTTGAAACTAATGAGAAAATATACGTGGATTAAGAAGGATAGTTATTTTATTTCAATGTTACACGTATTGATGCATGATAATTAACATTATATGAAAGGCTTTCTAATTTTGCTGTATCAAATCAAATGGCGACTGAGAGTCACCTCTCGAGTGCAAAGGGTTAACCCTTTCTCATTGGAAATATTCAATATTTTTTGACGAGATATAGGTCATATTGTTTGAAACCAATTCAACGACAATTCATAGATAAATCAAGCAACAGAGGTGCTTTATTTAAATATTTCACGCAGCAATGCAAACTTTAATTTGAAATATTAACCCTTTGCACATAATTGCACCCTTTGAAATATAATACTTGTGTTTCTTAATTTATGCAAGGTGTTTCTTTATGTTAGTTGTAAAAAATATCCTTGACATTTCATTAGAAACTAATGCATATTTCTTGAGAAAAATACTCTCGAGTGCAAAGGGTTAAATATCCAACTTCATAGTTTTGTTGCATCGAATCTCCTAGCGACCGAGAGTCACCTCTCGAGTGCAAAGGGTTAACCCTAGACAGTTTCTCAATGGAAATATTCAACATTTTCTGACGATAGATAATATTGTTTAAAACTAATTCAACGACAATTCATAGATAAATCAATCAACACAAGTGTTTCATTTAAATATTTCACGCAGCAAACTTTAATTTGCAATATTCACCTTCATACTTTTATTCCATCGAATCACCTGGCAATCGAGAGTCACCTCCCGACAAAGGATCAAATCACAAATTTTTCCGTCTCCCCCGAGTCTCATCTCTATAATGTCACTGTTATCGAGCAATAATTCCAGCCGTTCCATTAGCCGATTTCCCGAGTACTCGGCGAGCATCGGTGCCCGGCGAGCCCGCTTGTAACCAGATCCTCGTGACGAGTATCAGTGACAGGTCCTAAGCGTCCGTACGTATCGTCAACGAAGGAGATCGATAATTGAACTGTCAATTGCTAGAAATTGGGTTTAGAAACGGCGGGACCGGCCGGGGACGACCGGTGGGGCGGGTATCCAGTACATTCTCCGCGATAATCTAGCTCGATGACCGGCACCGATGGTCCGGCCGGTGATGGATGGAGCAAATATCTCCTCTGACGCGCACTAAATAATACTTCGACGCCCAGATGTCGAAGGACACCGGAGCCCGCCGACCGTTACCCGATAACGGCGCTCCTACCAACTTTTTCTCCGGGCCCGATAACGATTAACAAATAACTTTTTATTGCGCCGGCGGGATACCTTCGTCGCCATCGGTCAAAATCCACCCCGGCGGAATCGGCCGACCGTTTCCAATCTTCGCGTGCAGTTATTACACGGCAGCGGGCGGACCTCCGCGGAAAAACAAATGAAACTGATGCAATGAAATTTTTCTCGAGGACACTTTGTTTTTCGGATAATGGATTTCGAGGGTAATTTACGGCCGCCGGAAACGTCGAGCTCGAGGATTCGAACGATCGACTTTCGGGCTCGATTGTCTCGGGAATTGTACGTTCGATTTTATTTTCGACGCTGGATTTTCGGTTTTTCGCAGCGAATTGTTTAACCGTTGGCTTCGCCGAGAGGTTCTGTAGGTTTTCGAATTGAAACGGTACGGTTTTAATGCGGTTGTTAACCCTTTGCACTCGAGAGGACTCTCGGTCACCACTTGATCTGATGCGGTGAAACTAATATTGAATATCAAATTTTATAGTTTCGAGAGACAAAGCTTTTTAATATTTCACACACCGGTGCATTATACGTATGAATATTAAATATCAAATTTTATGAATTATTATATAAAAATATGAAAAACATCGTCTTTGTCTAGTTAGAAAATGTTATATATCTAGGGGAATACTTCCGAGTGCAAAGGGTTAATGTTTACTGGATTATATTTTCATTGCCGATGATCTTTCGATGTTTGTGTAGAGTGACTCATCTTTGGAAACTTGAGATGACTAATGTTTCTGAGCTTTTCACTAGAAACATTCAACGCTGAGATATGAACATTGTTGGAAACTGACTAACGAGGGAACGTGAGTAAATTAAGAAACGAAGCTACTTTAGTTGAATATTTTATATATGCATCAAGTATAATATTCTATATGAGAGGATAATTTTCTTACGTCAGATCTAGCGATGACAGAGTCACGTGCGCGAGCTTCGATCCATCAGAAAATCTAGTAGCCTTTTTCCCGATGTTCTTTTCCCAAGTATTTTTAGTTTGATCTAAAGACTGATTCATCAAGTATTTTTATTCGCTCGTAACCTGGTCACAGGCAGATCGTTTTTCCGTTGACTCGGCGCGGAATCGTTAATGGGACTATGGGGAATATTTAAACTTTCACTGGAGATATGGACCTGATTAAATATACGTGCGACGCTTCAGCCAAATTTTCACGTAATTCCGCAGTAAAAATTGAAGACCGTGAAGTAACGAAGAGATTCGATCTAATAAATCTTCGATTTTGAGCTTTTTCCCCTGCACGATCATCGTTATCATCAGCTCCGTCGTATTTCTAGGAAAGAATATTTGCTTCTGAAGTGCAAGGAATATTCCGAATTTAATTAGAACGCCCGCGAGAACAGTCGGGAATACAATTATTCATTAATAATGGGAATAAAGAGAGACAGTCAGGGTACGCGAAAGCAAATTTACATAAATTAATGGACTCCTGGAAAAATGTACCAGCGGTGGGCGCGAGTAATATAATTCATGTGGTTCGAGCACTAAAATTGTCCCTGGATAATGACTCAATATAAATGCATAAACTTTTAACATCGCGAATGTATGTCTTTCTATGTCTCTCGTATTTCCTCGAGCAGCGAGGAATGTACAGTTTCAATGTGTGTCGCATTAAAAAATACTTACAACATTATCTAACTTATTATTTTATAAGAACACATTATAGAAAGTGTCAGAGTACAGAGTACTGTTTAGCTGAAGAGTACAGTATGTGACCATTTTGTGGTATTACCATCTACTGGCATATAATGTTAGTAATATTAATTAATATCATGATATTCATAATAATATTATAATCTAGTCACTAGATTAATATTAATGGTAACCATAATTAGTATTAATAATACCATTTTGTGGTACTGCCAGCTACTGGCAGATAATGTTAATAATATTAACTAATATCATGATATTCATAATAATATTATAATCTAGTCACTAGATTAATATTAATAGTAACCATAATTAGTATTAATAATACCATTTTGTGGTACTGCCACCTACTGGCATATATTAATATTATAATATTCATAATAATATTATAATCTAGTCACTAGATTAATATTAATAATAACCATAATTAGTATTAATAATACCATTTTGTAGTATTCCACCTACTGGCATATAATGTTAGTAATATTAATTAATATTATGGTATTCATAATAATATTACAATCTAGTCACTAGATTGATATGAATAATAATATTATAATATTGATAATATTAACCATATAATAATATGATAATAATATTATAGTCTAAATGATGTTAAACATATAATAATGTGATAATAATAATATTATAGTTTAGTCTCTAACCAGACATTGTCTAGTTCCAATGCATCATCCTTTGGAATCCAGCACAGAATTCGACAACAATACAGCTCCCGATTAATCCGGTTAATTGGCTCAGAGCTACAGGAGCTATACAATTAAGAATTAATACAAATGCTATAGAACTTGTATTACACAATAAACAATTCAGTCGCGGCAATTTATGACTGTGTTACGCGTGCCTATTATTCGAGGGTCGCCTCTAAACGGAAAGTCGGCACGTCCATTATCAGTCGAGTATTGTGAACCGAAGCTTTAACCCTTTGCAGAGGAAGATCCTTTGTAATAGAAACCTTCAGCGAATGAAGATAAATTATATATCAATTGTTTAATTGATAGAAAAGAAGGAAACTGCGTGCTGGTCTCTTTCTGTTGACTAATTAAATCATTATTCGCTATTTCGCTTTTTAATCTTCCAAATACAAAAATTTTATCTCGCGAAAATGTCGACATTCGTTAAAATGGAAAAGATACAATACTAATTCATTTGACTGAATTATCCAATTCAATGATAATAATCCATTATCATGGTGCGTTCATTAAACTGAATGTCGCCGCACTGGGTAACATTATTTCTAATAGAGAAATGTTTGCGAATAATCATCGTTTAATTGAGCGAATTATCGTAATTCTATTTGCTTGGGGGTCACCGGTGACCCCATGGCATTCGACGTGTTAATAAAGAAAGAACCTCAAAGCGTCAATCGAAAGAGTATTCTAGTCTCGATCTGCTCTCGATTCCGGAGCAGAACGAAGCTACATAAAGAATCTAGTTAACGAATCAGATGAGTACAAACAATTTTCGTGCATTATTCGCGAATTCCGGCTCGATCTCTGTCTTCGTCCATCGAGAGCAATTTTCTATGGAAAACCGAGGAAACAATGAGTTCTAACGCATCTGTTGAATTTCCATGAAATAATCGATTTCTAAATCGAAATCGATAGACGAGGGAAGAATTTCAAGCGACTTTTAGCGTGTATCAGGTTTAATGATAGCTGGATCATCCTCTCGCGGAGCGAGAGAGAGAAAGCTGAGAGGGTCACGTGGCTGCGACGATTTATCCGAGTGAGTCAGGCTTGCGGGCTGGGTCGTCTTACCTAGAAATAGCTCGTTGAAGTCACCCTGTCCGCCGATGAACACGCCGTAGTGTATGTTCAGCTCGAAGAACCGTCCCGGTAACAGGGACTTGGTCGTGTGTATCACGTCGATCCTGAGCGTGATGTTCGCCTCCCGTCTGGTCAGGTTCACCTCGTGCCAGCTCAGGTCGTTCAGCGTTAACCCCCTGGCGCTGGCCATCTCGCTCTCGCCTGCGCCTAGATTAATGTGGACCTGCGGTCAGAGAGAGAAGGGGATGATAACGATTGGAGGAAGCAGATTTGTTTTGGTGCTACTGTTGTTTCGGTTTACGAGGGGCTGAGATGTGGATGGAGGATTTGGAAGATGAAACGTGTGACGGAAGATGTAGAATGTTGGAGATGCAAAATTTATCTTCTATATCTATCTTCTATATCTATCTTCTATATCTATCTTCTATATCTATCTTCTATATCTATCTTCTATATCTATCTTCTATATCTATCTTCTATATCTATCTTCTATATCTATCTTCTATATCTTCTATATTATAAATCTTCCATTTTCTAAATCTCCCATTTTTTAAATCTTCCATCTTTCAAATCTTCCATCTGTCAAATCTTCCACCTGTAAAATCTTCTATCCTTTAAATCTCCTATCTTCATTTTCTATAAGATAGAAGATATAGAAGATAGAAAATATAAAAGATAGAAGATGTAGAAGATAGAAGGTATAGAAGATAGAAGATATAGAAGATAGAAGATATAGAATATAGAAGATTTAAAAGATGGAAGTTTGAAAAGATAAAAGATTGAAAAGATAGAAAATATAGAAATTACAAAACACAGAAGACTCAAAAGATAGAA